AAGCTCAGGTGATGAGGAGTTCACTTTTATTGTGCTTTTTTTTAGTTGTGCTTTAGGTGAAAGTTCACAGATCAAGTTAATTTTTCTTTCAAAAATTTATACACATATTGTTTTGTGACATTGGTTGCAATCCCCACAATGTGACAGCACATTTCTACCTACCCACCCCTGGTTCCCTGTGTCCATTAGTCCAGTTCCTGTCCCTTCCTTCCTTCTCGTCTTGCTTTTGGACAGGGGCTGCCCATTTAGTCTTGTATATTTAACTGAACTAAGAAGCACGTTCCTCACATGTGTTATTTTTTGTTTTATAGGCCTATCTAATCTTTGTCTGAAAAGTGAGCTTCAGGAATGGTTTCAGTTCGGGTTGATGAGAAAGATTAGCCCTGACTGCCGTGTGATAAAGGGCAATTCACTAGTGGTTTTATCTGCTGGGGAAGGAAATTGCAGAAAAATATTTTTCAAAATTTTCTATAAAAATAGGGAAATGTACATTTCTTCAAACTATAGATGGGATGGTAATCAGTTTTCTAATTACTTTTCATGTAATTCAACAAACTTATTCTTATTGGTGATTCCTTAAGTGAAACGCTCTGGGAAAAGTTCTTTTATGTTACTTGTGTTTTTAAACATCTAGATATCATCTGAAATTGCCTTTCTGACTTTTTTATAAGTACCTTGATCCAAACATCTCATTGGTCCCTTCCCAGTTGAGAGTAAACAATTTAACACTAAACAGCCATTCATTCCTTTTACTTGTCCCTTCCCAGTTGAGAGTAAACAAAGTTGATGCTAACCAGTCATTCCTTCTTCCTACTGGTCTCTTCCTAGTTGAGGCTAAACAAAGCTGACACTAAACAGCCATTAGTCATTACCTCTGCAAAGTCAGCCCCTTCCTGGCCCTTCCTCTTCACCCTCCCACTCACCCCCAGAAACACTCTTGCACACAGCTCTGACTCTCTTTTTATGATTGAAGCATTTAGACCCTTCTAGTCTCCTGTATGCCCCTCCCCCATTGGAATCCTGAAGGAGCTGCTGTCAGTCGTTTCCATAAACTATATTACACTATATTAACGAAATTAACTGCATGACTCTGCTTCTTGTTGCAGTTCAACTATTTTTATCTTTTTTTTTTTT